ACAACGCACCCTTTTGAAAATAAGCCTGTTCGAAAGCCTTCAAGTGCAGAATTTAAAAACTATTGATTTCTCTTTAAACAATTTATAAGTTTATAATGTAAATTAGTTTTTGCACAATTAATGATTTAGGTACTTGCATCGCAAATACATGCACTTACTCTGAGTACAACATCTAATCAAGGAGACTAATGGGATGCTCTCCTTTATTTATGAGTGAAATTGAACATAAAAGTAAGAAAGATGGTGTTCAGTTGTACGTGGCTTTGGTGAGCCTCATCCCAAATACCGTGTGCAGTTTTTGCCTCTTTTAAACAAAGATGTAAACATATTGGTAAGGGCTCAGAAGAGGTTTACTATATTGATGCCTGGAATAAGTTGTCTTATGAGGATATGCTGGACAGACTAATCTTGTTTCCTTTTGTGGGTCAGTCAATAGCTATGGCCACTGTTATAAAATTAGGGGGTGCCTTTTCAGGACTGACAGAAATTTCTTCTCTGAGACATTATAACCCTCTGTCAATGACCTTGCCTCATTGATCGTTTGAGACATAGGATAACTACTTGTCAGGCAACGAAATCAGGTGTATGTGAATGTGGAATTTGAAACATGAAATGGTTAGCCCTGATCTTAGTGAATGCGAGCAGGCTTGAAGGGCCAGTGGCCTACATTTTCTGTTTTGTATGTTCATATTGCTATGCTCAGCGTGACATTTTTGAATGGACTTTTTTTTTTGATGTAAGCAATTTTAGTACCATCCCTAAACCCGATCTCCAGCAGGACTTGGGGGTTGTACAGTGTTCAGATTCTCATTTCAAGTAAATGATGTTCACAGTCTCTTTGATCATTTCAGCACCTCATCTGCTCCCAGTTACCACCTTGAAACGCTGAAATATTATCTCTTAACTTACTCTCAAATGGGAGCTGTGCTGTAGTCCAAGATTAGGCCTTCCCAGATCTCAGCCTTAATCTAACATTTCCTCCTTCAGTGGTCCTATATCCATCGTATCAATTCATTCCATATTCCATTCAATCATTTCACTCACGTTCCAGCTGTTTCCTTTCAATGTACTATCAGTACCAATGAACCCCACTTCACTCCTTTTTTTAAAAATTATTTTGTGGGCAAGGCCAGCATTTGTTGCTCATTCCCAAATGCATTTTTTTGAGAAATAAAAATAAAAAATGCTAGAGGAAGTCAGCAAACCTGGCAGGTGTCTTTGGAAAGAGAAACAAGATTAATGTTTTAAGTCTGATATATGACTGTTTATGGAGCATTGTTCTCCAGTGTTCATGGTTGATTGTGGCAGGACTATTGAGCTTTGATCTGATCCTTTGATGTGGGGCTACCTTGCTTTTGGCTGCTGCATTCTGCCTCTATTTGGTATGCATATAATCCTGTGTCCTTACTTCACCAGATTAGCATCTAATTTTTAGATACATCTGATACTGTACCTGGCATGTGTTCTGCATTTCTCTGAACCAAGGTTCATCTCTTGGCTTGATGGTACTAGCAAACTAGGTACATGTCTCCAATCGTGTGGCTGGCTATAGTTGAATTCAATTCTCCTGTTGCTGCTGATGGTCTAACGCCCCTCATGGATGTCCAGTTTTGAGCTGCTAGAACTGTTGTTAATTTTTCCCATCTGGCATGGTCATTGTGCTGTACAACATGATAGAATTCTCACTGTGAATGTAGGATTTCTTCTCCACAAGTGCTGTCACTAGCAATGTTGTGGATTAATTCACCTGCAACAGGTTAATTAGTGAAGGTGATGTCAAGTAAGATTTTTTTCCTCTAGATTCCCTCACTGCCATCTGTCGGCCCAGTGTGGAAGCTATGTCCTTCAGGACTCAGTGACCCTTGTGAATAGTTGTTCCATTGAGCCAATCTTGGTGATGAATATTGAAAACCCCCACCCAGCGTACACTCTGTGCCCATGTTACCCTCCGTATTGCTTTCAAGTGACGTTCAGTATAGAGGGATACTCTTTATCAGCTGAGGGATGTTTTCAAGTGGTAGTCAGGAGTTTGCCTTGCTCTTGTTTATCCTGATACCTTGAGACATTACAGGGTTCAGAGTTGATGTTCAGAGCTCCAGGATCAGTTCCCTTGTCACCATGCAGTACTTTGTCACCACCTCTAACAGGTCAGTCCTTTTGACTGAAATTCCCAGGGATTGTGATGGAGGAGTCTGCAATCATTTTAATTTATCTGTAAGCTGCAATTTCATAAGTATGACTATCATCTTTGACACAAGTCCCTAGATAGTTAGCAAGGCGGTCTTTGTTATACAGGACAAGGTGTGCTATTGCTACCTCTAGTGCTTAGTTAGATGCCAAGTGGTCCACCCAGTTTTATTCTTTTTTTTAGTGGTTCTATAACAGTTTGGTTCAAGAAAACCTTGCTATATCGTTTGAGAGTTGACTACATTTTATGCATCAGGTGAAATGTAGGCCAAACAAGGTAAAGACAGCAGATATATTTCCCTAAAGGACTTTAGTGAGTGAGATAGAGAGGGGTTTTCACAAGAGTCCAATTAGTTTCATGTTCATTGGTGCTCAGAAAGAAACTTGATCCCTTCTTTCTGGCCATAGCCACTTCACCTTATGCTCTCCCTTACCTGAATCCCATGCTTTTCTTGTACTGCAGTATATCTTTGTGACTAATCCATGCATGATTCCCATTTTGCTGCATTCCTAAATCCTAGTGATGTGATAAGATATTTCTCAGGTTTAGGAGACAACTGAGAACTCCAGAATGAATGAGACAGAAACAACGAGAAAAGAGATTTTACCACAAAGATCATCAGGATAGATTGAAGAAGTTAAGTCAAAATCATGATGGGTCTGGTCAGTAGATTTGGTGAAACTATTCCCACTCCTTAAAGGATTGAGGACGACAGGGTACAGATTTGAAGTAATTTGCAGAAGAAGTAAATGTGCCATGAGAGAGAATCTTTTCACACAGCACTTAGTTAATAAGGATCAGTGCTGGGTCCACTGCTTTTTGTCATTTGCATAAATGATTTGGATGGGATCATAGGAGGTATAGTTAGTAAGTTTACAGATGACATTTAAAATTAGAGTGAAGTGTTCAGCGAAGAAGGTTACCTCTGAGTACAATGGGATCATGATCAGATGGGCCAGTGAGCCGAGTAGTGGCAGATGGAGTTTAATTTTGAAAAATGTGAGGTGCTGCATTTTGGAAAGGCAGTTCAGGGCACAACTTATGTACTTAATGGTAAAGGCCTGGGGAGTTTTGCTGAACAAAGAGACCTTGGAGTTCAGGTTCATAGTTCCTTGAAAGTGGAGTCACGGGTAGACTGGTTAGTGAACAAGGCACTTGCCTTTATTGATCAGTTCATTGAGTGTAGGAGTTGTGAGATCATGTTACGGCTATACAGGACATTGGTTCAGCCACTTTTGGAGTATTGCATGCAATCCTGGTCTCCCTCCTACAGAAAGGATGTTGTGAAAGGGTTCAGAACAGATTGAGGATGTTGCTGGGTTTGGACTAAAAGGAGAGGCAGAATAGACTGGGGCTATTTTCCCTGGAGCTTCGGAGGCTGAGGGGTGACCTTTATAGAGGTTTATAAAATCATGAGAGGCATGGTTAGGTAAATAGACAAGGCTTTTTCCCCAGGGTGGGGCAGTCCAAACTAGAGGGCATAGGTTTAAGGTGAGAGGGGAAAAATACAAAGGGACCTAAGGGGCAACTTTTTCACGCAGAGGCTGATGCATGTATGGAAATGAGCTGCCAGAAAACATGGTGGCGGCGGGTACGATTACAACATTTAAAAGGCTTCTGGATGGGTACATGAGTTGGAAGGGTTTAGACGGATAGGGGCCAAATGCTGGCAAATGGGACTAGACTTGTATAGAATATCTTGTTGGCATCGATGAGTTGGACCAAAGGGTCTGTTTCTGTGCTGTATATCACTGACTCTAGTTCAACATTTTCCAAGTGGGGTCATAAGCTCTGAGGCAACAGTGGCCAACCTGCCCCTTCCCCCTTTTCTTATAGGCCTTTGCATACAGTTTGATTTCCAGAAAGCATTTGATTAAGGTACCACATGAAAGGAAAGCAGAAGACAGGACACATGGTGTTAAGGGTCATGTATTATCATGGATTAATGAAGACATACTTGGAATTAGTGAGTCTTTTTTAGGTTGGCAATATGTAACTAGTGGACATCTTTACTATCTATATTAATGACTTGGACATGGGGCAGAGTAAATTATCCAAATTTCCTCCTAATACTAAAACTGGGGAAGGGTATGTTGTAATAGCAACATAAGGAATCTACAGTGGTATGTAGACAGAATGAGGGAATGGCAAAAACCCAATAGATGGAGTTTAAATTCAGGAAAGTGAGGTCATGCTTTAGAAGGCAATAACAAAGTCTGCCTTTTGATTAAATGAAGAGTGGCTCCAAAAAGTGCAGCAGAGGGATATAGGTGTTCTCAACCATGCAACGCAAAAAAAAGCATGCCGGTACAGTAAGTAATTTGGAGGGCAAATTTGAATTTTGACTATCATTCCTAGGGGATTGGTGTTTAAAAATGAAGGAAGTCTTATCACAACCATACAGTGTTAGTGAGGCCACACCTGGAGTACTGTTTTTGTCCCTATATTTAAGAGCAGATATGTTAGCATTGGAGGTGGTTCACAAATGATTCACTAGGCTGATTCCTGGGTGGAGGAGTTGACTTGATGAGAATGACTAAATAGATTAGGCCTTCATTCATTAGAGTTGAGAAGAATGAGGGTGACCTTATTGTGACATACAAGATTCTGAAGGGGCTTGCCCAGTTAGATGTTGAGATGCTTCCATTAGTGAAGGAATCTTGAACCGGGAGTTGAGGGTTGTGAGAAACTGGCATAAAAGAAGAGTTGAGGCCTTGGGAGGCCTACCATGATATTTTAGAATGGTAGGACTGTCTCGAGGGGGTAAATGGCCTACTGCCCCTATTTCTTATGTACTTACTTTCTTTTTCAGGTGACCCGTGTGTCTTCAAAAACTGGGGAAGGCATTCCAGAACTCTGGGAGAAAATAGAAAAATTCAAGGCCACATTATTAGAAAGTGGTGAGTTGCAAATAAAAAGACAAAAGCAACAAAAAGTGTGGATGTGGAGTCTGATTAAAGAAAATGTTACAGAATACTTCTGCAACCATCCAGCTGTCAGAAATCAGATTCCAAGTATAGAAGATAAGGTTGTCAGTGGCGATATAACTCCTGGTTTGGCAGCAGACATCCTTCTGAAGGCATTTTCAACAAAAGAATAAATACCTTATGCTCAATTGATTCACATTGGGAATCTGTTATGGATTATGAATTTTGAAGTGAGCATAATGTTTTCACAGACATTTTAATAATTCACATGTTTTAAAGGAACATTCCTTGCTGGCTCAATGGGATCTCCATATGGAAGCACTTTAATGAAGATTCTAACATTTAGTTTATTCACGCGTAAAATCATAATATGTTTGTACAAATTATTTCCGGGATGAGCATAGCAATGTGGACCATTTTAATTTTGTGAAGCTGACTGTGGTAATGATTCACTAATCATTTTGTCACATGGACTAAATGGTCAGTTTTTGTGAAATAAAAATTGTATGAAATATATTTTGTTTTATTGTTGTAGTTATTATGCCAAATTATTTTGACCAGGAGTTTTTTTTTCAACTACACATTGTGAAACCACGTAGAACTAAAACTGAGAAGAGCTCCTCCTCCAGTCATGGACTGTTGCACTCCCTGACTTGCTGCTTATTGGCTCACTGGTGAATCTACCAGCAGCGAGTGAGTGATAAGTAAGTGGTTAGATGGGAATGGAGCAGAAATGTCTGCAAAAAAGAGAGAATGAAGGCAAGAATAGTGAGAAATGATTTCAGAAAATCCTAATTGTTTGACTCATGATTTTCTAATAAGTATTTGCAAGCAGGAACTTCTGCGAATACTCGCTCAAGTAATCAAGACTCTAGTTGCAGTCTCTAGACATTGTATAGTGATCATACATTTGGCAAATGTTAGAACCACCCAGTTTCTATCACATGACCAAGTTTTGTGTTTCTCTAACATGGGTTAAAGAGGTATTTCACTTTTTGATAGTTTATAATTCATACATAAAACAATTAGTCTTCGATTGGTCGTCTTGGCTCGTGTTGTCATTCTAGGGTCATGTTTCTGGGTGGATCAACTAGGCTACATGTGATTCCCACCTTATCTACTGTGATAGATCAGAGCTTGACTAACTTTTCAGTTTGCTGTTACTAACATGAATGCCCTTTTAAGGAAAATACAATTATGTACAAAGCCTTCAATGCTATGTTACCCTTTCCTGCATCAATTTTTATTTTTTAGCTCAGTTCAAATTGACCTTTTTTCTGACTTCATCTCACATTACTGCTGAAGCAATCCTTGATGTGGTGCTATTTTAGTCTTTTTTTTTGTATGAATTTGTTTTTATAATTAAGAAAAAAATGATAGATCCAGCAGGAATAAGAGCTCAAAATTTACGGGGATGCAGTGGGCAAAGTCATCCTTGAAAGTGGCCAAATAGATCACGGGGAGAAGTCAGAAAAGTTACCAAGAAATGGAACCGAGAAATTTTGAAAAGTTACTCCTCCAATAACAGGCTATTGCATTCCCCAAACTGCTGCTTATTGGCTCAATGATGAACCTACCAGCAGCAAGTGAGGGAAGGAAATAGCTGATATTGAAGGAGTGGTGAAAAGCAAGTTTCAGGGGTGAACAAGCCTGGTGAGGGGGGCGGGGGAGGATAAGTCTGTTGGGTGAAGTGACAGTGATTGGTTAGATTGGGAGGGGGCAGAAATGTCTACAAAATGGGAGAAGATGAAGACAAGAAGCCAGTAGCTGCAAGGGTGGAGGGCAGGGGAGTAGCAGGTGATTGCAGAGGGGGAGAGGGGTGAAGAAGGGACTGGCTACAAAGGAGAGTGAATGTGGTTGCCAAAAATAGCTTGTCAACAAAGGAATATCTAGCTAATTGGGAGCTAAGGAAACTAAGTTTTAAAAGAATGCAAATTTTCCACCTTTTATGAAGTGTGTCAATCATTTAGAAACTTTTTTTCCACTTACAACTGTCTTATGTCACTTTAAAACTGGAAATTTAAATTCTCCTTGTGTTGTGGCTTTACTTTAAGTAGAGTTGACAATTATTGGGGATTGTCACAGGCAAAGGGGACATAGTGCTAGTTTTAAATTGATTGCTTTTCCCATCTTAAGTCTGAGACAGCAATACATTGATTTACTCCTTTCCTGTTTTTTTTTTTTTATTATTTCTGACCTTTCCTGAAGGTAGGCTGAAGGATGTTCCTTAAACACTGGTTTTGATTTCCAATTATTTGAAAATAAATCCACAGTGAAAACCTTTTTGATCAAAAACCATGGTGATCAGTCTCAGCCATTTTAAGTTCAGCAAGATTGGCTATTTTTAAAAGAAATAAGTTAAGCCCACAAATATAGAATGTGGTTTTCTTCATGCCCTCTGGCTGTGATGTACTTTCATACTTTGTAGAAAATAAATAAATTCTAATCTTTTAAAACATCTTTCGGGAGAAAAGAAAAAATTAAGGAGCTCCATCATTGTCATTTTATTCTAAGGTAAAGGGGGAGAAAAAAATCAAAAGGAAGAGCATCCTACAGACAGTGTTGCAGTGAAGCACTCTGAGAAGAGTGTCATGCAGTCTGCATCTCAATGAAGCAATCCAGGAAGAGTGTCCTGCAGTCAGTCTTGCTGAACAAAACCAATGACATCACAGAAACTCTTAAGTTAATTGACTGGTAAGAAACTGCTGTTAGGGACCGTTTGGCAGGTGCAATGTAATAAAGTAATATAAATTAAAGTAGGACAAGGGAAAGAGAGTAAAGTTAACGTAAAGGGAGTCAGTTTAAGACTAAGACAAACTGACAGGGGAGCGCAGGCCTGTGGGTCATACAACTTACAGTATGTAGGCATGTTGGAAGTTCCTGGCATTTTGAATGGTTTCGATCCCCTTGAGCATCGGATGGAGACACAGCAGTGCATCCCACAAAGCTGAGACTTGTGTGGATGGTACGTTTTTAGATGTTATCTGCAGCTTAAGGAACTGCAGTCAGAGGGGACGTGGGTAACCATCAGTCAAAAGAAGGGTGGCTTATGGGTAGTCAGCAAAGCCCCAGGGTACATCTCTCTCAAACTTATTTTGTATGTTAGGAAATGGAGCGTGTGATGATTCCTCTGGGGATTGCAGCTGTACAGGGAGGGAGAACAATAGCGGTAGGTGATTCAATAATGAGAAGTACAGGTAGACATTGTGTGTTGCCTCCTTGGGCCAGGGTCAAGTGTCACTGGCTTCAGGACGTCCTGAAGGGGGAGAGCAAACAGTCAGAGGTGATCATGGTTCATGTTGGGACCAATGATGTAGGTAGAAAGAGGGATGAGGGACTGCAACAATAATTTGGGGAGCTAGGTAGCAGACTAAAAAGCAGGATCTCAAAGATTGTAATCTCTGGATTACCCTGTTACATGCTAGTGATATAGGGATAGGTGGAGTGAATAGATGAATGCATGGTTGAAGAGTTGAAGCACAAGGGAGGGCTTTAGATTCTTAAATCATTGGTTTGTTTCTGTGGAAAGTGAGACCTGTTGAAGTCCATTGGGTTGCACCTGAACTGGAATGGGACCAATACCCTTGCAGGGAGGTTTGCTAGTGTGGTTGGTAGGGATTTAAACTAAGTCGGCAGGAGAATGGGATGCAGAGAGGAGTTACAATAGGCGCTGATGCATAGACAAGTATAGAAGAAGAACCAAGTCAGCCTAGAAGGCAATTAAAACATAGTCTACTTAAGGTATGGCTGGGCGGCATTTTTAAAAAGCAACAAGTTAAACCCAGCAACGTAGAGAATATGGCTTTCTTCATGCTCTCTGGCCATGATGTGCCTTCATGTTTAGTAGAAAAGGAGTATTGCAAATATAGTAGATGTGTTGAGGGTGTGATATAATTGCTATCATGGACATGATTGAGGAAGGAACAGAGCTGGCAGTTCAATATTTTGCAGAATAAAATCTTTCAACAAGGTGGGTGGTTTAAAAAAATGTGGATGTTACAATATTGATCGAGGTGTCAATTACTGTAGTAAGAAGGGGCTGACATTTTAGAAGGTTCCTCAAATGTACCATATGGGTGGAACTTGAAGACAAAAATGGGGGCAGTCACCTTGGGGGTGTACCATAACCCTCAAAACAAGGAGAAAAAGAAATGTAGGCAGATCTCAATGTGTAAAAATAAGAGGGTGATAATACTAGGAGATTTCAATTTCCTCAACGTTAACTGTCATAGTCAAAGTGTGAAAATCCTAGGAGGTGGGGAACAAAATTTTTAAAACTTGTCCAGGAGAGCATTTAAGCCAGCATATGGAAAGCCCTACAAGAGAAGGGTTGTTACTGGACCTAATTTTAAGGAATGAAGCTGGGCAAGTTGAGAAGCATTTCAGTAATGACTATAATTCAATAAAATTTAAAGTAATTGGATAAGGACAACACTGGAATGGAAATGGTGGCCCTGAACTTGGGGGGAGGCTGATCTTTAATAAGGTAAAACAGGATCTGGCCAAAGTGGACTGGTAGCAACTACTTGTAGGAAAATCTATTTTAGAGCAGTGAGAGGCATTTGAAGGGTAATTGTGTGCAGGGCCAACATGTTCCTGTAAAGGTGAAAGAGTGACCAACAAGTGCAGAGAGCCCTGGATGTCAAGTGATATACAGGACTCAATTTGGGGAAAAAAAAACAGACTTGTATATGATTGATACTGAAGGATCAAAACAGCAGATGCCCTGGAACAGTGCCATAGAATGTGCAGATGATATTTAAAGAGAAATTAGGAGCATAATGAGGGACCATTGAAAAAACAATGGTGGGTAACATTTGGGGAAAATCTAAAGGTGCTTTATAAGTATGTTGGGGACAAGAAATTAACTAGGGAAAGAGTAGAGCACATTAGGGATGAAAATGGCAATCTGTGTGGGAGCCAGTAAAGAAGCTGATGCTTTAAATGAGTACTTTGCTTCGGTATTCACAGCAGTAAGGACAGTGCCAGTCTAGAAATCATTGTGAGACACTTGAACAAATTAGCATCGAAAAGGATGAGGTATTCATGATTTTAGTGGTCTTGAACATGGATAGATCCCCAGATCCAGATAAGATGTATGCAAGGGTGCTATGAGAAGCAAGGGAGGATATTGCAAGTGCTCTTACATTAATTTTCCAATTCTCTCTGGCCACAGGTGGGATGCCAGAGGACTGAAGGACAGATAACATCATACCATTATTCAAAAAGGGTGGTGGAGATAAACCAGGAAACTACAGGCCAATGAGTCTGATCATCAATGGTAGGGAAGCTATTGGAAAAAATCCTGAGGGGAAAATACTAATCTCCACTTGGAGAGGCAAGGATTAATCAAGGATAGTCAGCATAGCTTTGCAAGAGGGAGATTATATCTAACAAATTTGGTTTGAATTTTCTGAGTAGGTGAATAGGTGTGTAGTTGAGTTTTCTTTGGGGCTGCAGCAAGGTTTGCGGTGGAGTTCTCTAGGGGTCAGTATGGGGATATTTGAATTTTCTGT